CACTAACAATCAAGCAAAAGTGGTCCATTTACCACCTGACTTGGTCCAAATTAGGATTAAATTGATGATCAATTAATCTTAGAAGGGGCAGTGTTGTATTTTGTGGAGGAGCAGCAGCAAAAGTGGCAAATAAATGGAGTAAAGACAGTAGAACTGGCTATAGTTTAGAGCTGTCACAGGCATGGAGACAGAAATTGAAGCATATTTGACATCGCCCTTCTACAAATAGAAAAGGCAGAGCGGAGTCTCAGGTAATACCTCTTATTGGACTAACTGCATATCATTGACAAACTGGTTTATGGGATAAAAATGGTTTTGGGTCAGAGGTTTGGGGACACAGTGAAAGAACAAAACAAATGTTCATTTTCATACTTCCATCCATTACTCTGGCAAGGCTTTATATTTTTGTGCAAACAAACTTTGTACACAGCAAATTAGTATGGAAAAATTCTTAGCTCATATTGGCTGTGACACACTATGTAAAAATCTCCACCAAGAATTCAAGAAATGCACTCATACAGTATCAGGCTTCTGTGAAATATTTCTAGTTAAAAAGCTAACGGTAACCTTGTTTTCAACTACATGAAGTCTTATTTCAGTTTTCATCTGTGCAAAATACATCTCAATATCCAGGTCTGTCCAGGTGATACATTATAAAGAATGAATGTCATCTCCGACCTTTTTGAGTTTGAGGGTAGACAACAGGGAATTTTTTGAAGTGTTGAACCAAAGCTGTAGTTGTTTCTGAAGTCAGTTCAGGGCTGATCAGTATGGTACCTTTGCACTATAATATGGTTTATGAAGTTTTGTAGAGAATGAAATATTCACCCTGAACTTGGTGTATATCAAAATTAATACATTTATTCTGATAATACAGAATACCCAGTCATCTTACCGGTATGCTATTATTGCTTAATTCTAATTGGCCTTTATGTTTTGTTTTGTGTATTACGTTTTTAATCACTCTTGTTTCATCTAAAGTTCTGTCTCGCACTGAAGGCGATGTATCTGGTCACTTCACTTCCACTTATCATATGTCATAGTTGCACTTCAGCAGAATTTGAAAAATACTATAGCATATTAAGGTAGCTGAGAGGATACCTGTTGTAATGTATGCCTTTTTTTTTTTTACTTCGCATGCATGAAGGACTAGAATTTCTATTTTGTGGCCAAAGTTAAGATTTTCTTTTAAAAAGGGTGACTACCCTTCTCTGGTGTTGGTGTCCATCGAAGTTCTCTTTTTAGAACACTACTAAAAACAGGGTCGTGTTTAGCAAAGAGAATAAAAGAAAAAGAACAACTCTTCAAATGGAGATTTACATACCTAACTTTTAGACACCTGGTCACAGAGCTGCCAGTATTTCTTAATGCAGTATGCCTTACAATGTGTAGAACTTTTTGGTGATAAATGTTTGGTTTATCTGCAGAGCTGTTAGAGTATGCATGACATTGTGTAGCTGAAATAAGGCTAACCATAGGGTATCAAATGGGTACCGGGTGACAGAGTGTTTAAGAAGAAGAGGATATTACAAGCAATGGTCTATTGTAGAATAAAGGCTTATTACACATGTGTACAAGTATATATGTGTAATATACAATTTATGTGTATATCTGTGCAGTAAACAAGTGTACCGGTGACAAGAAGTAACCTACAGTGATTCCTTCTTTTTTTTCATTCTGGATTCATACAGTTAAAAATTAAAGTTACTGTAGCTTATATTTCTTACAACACAGTACAATGTCTGCTAAAGTTATGCCTGTATTGGTTTTTCTTGGCTACAAGTTTTTTCATCTATAAATGATCTGTGTACTCAAAATGCAGCTAATTATGGTCTGGCTTTTTTCTGGTACCTACTGAGTTATTCGCTCTGTTCACTGTGTATGATACACTATATATAAAGATTCAGATTTAGTATAGATTCTAATCTTTTGGGAAAGAAGAAAAAAAAAAGACAAAAACAAACTCACCAAAAAAAACGCACACACCCTCCCTCCCAACCCAGGATCTTGTTTCTAGATAGACAAGGGGTAAAGGAAGGAGAAGAACAAAGTATCATGCGGGTATTTTTGTGCAGAATTCTGCTGAAATTTTTAAGAGGTCATTAAGCGATAGTATTGCTCAATTATGAAATTTCACTTTCCTTTTGAAAGCAAGCTATTGATTCAATTTAGCATCTCCCTAAGCTACATATTCAGTAGAAATGGCTTCATGACATCTAGAGGAAGGATCTAGTACAGGAAATGTTTTAAAATCAAAACTTCTTAATAGCATTAAATATCAGCATCCCTATCTTATGAACAATAAATCAAACTTTAAATTGGACAATTTGGCTTATTGAACAAAGTGCAATTGAAAATTTGAAACAGAAAACAGTTTCATGTTTCAGGTTTCATTTATTTCCTTTTTTGAAAGCAGACTATTTAAAGTTCTGCTTCTGAAATGTACAATTAGTACAGAAATAGAAATAAGAATTGCATACATATTTATCTACCTAAGTATCTAGATATGAGAAAGGTGTGCAAAAACTCAAGTTAAATTCAATTCTAAACTAGGCCAGAACATGCAGTCCTTTGCTGTTTGATAACAGTAGAGCAAACTTGAATAGCAGTCAGTTTGAAAAGTTAGTGTACATAGAGGGAGACGTGAATGTGAAAATGTAATGTGGAAACATAAGTAATGACAATCATTGTGCTTTTTGTTTCAGCCAAAACTAAAAATAATTAACAATGCTGGGTTTAGCGATGCACGTTGACTTTAGTTCCAATGGCATACACACTTTAAGTGCATCAACATAAAAACTGCTTTTAATCATATCTCTCTCACCCTGCTCCTCAAGGGAATTTGCTATTCTCATTAAAAAAAAAAAATCATCTGTCTGACAGGTTGATTAAAATTAACTTTTTTTGAACCTAAAAATGCAGAGCAAATAGTACTGCCTGGAATTAAATCAAGCAACCTTGATCAAACAATTAACTCATCCTCTATTAAATCAATATTTGCTGATGCTAATACTGGAGCTAGTTCCAGTAGCTGGAATTACAGCCACTGATTTAGTGTCTTTATTATTAGTAATTAGGCTGCTGTCTTTCCCCAGTACTACTTCTCAAAGCTAGTACTTGGGTAACTTACAGAAACCGGCCTAGATGATAGCTATACTACTTGCTGCTAAAGCTTGTTCATAAGGCTGAAGGCCCTGTCTGATGGTGTGATTCCACGGGGTTTGAAACCTGTTCAGGTCTCTGTTGCCACAGCCCAGCTTAGATCAACTGTTGTGGAGCCACAGTTTAAGGCTATTTCAGCAAAACAATTTCTGGTGATGTAAATTCTAACAAAAGCTGGGAGAGTTCCTGCTCTTGCAATATCACTGTATTTTCTTTGGAATTTTTCTCAAGATATTACTGCAGTGGTGCTTTTGTGGCGGTTTCAGTTCACAAAAGGTTCTTGTCATCCCAATATCTTTCTGTCCATCCTAGCAGCATATCTAGTAGGGCACTTAACTGTGACAAATTAGGAATTAATTTGCTCTGATTCACTAACGTGACCATGAAGCTCTCTACAAGACCTTTACTTATTCTCTTTTCATTTGTGTAATACATTCTTTGCTTCTTGGATCTGATTACCTTCTTTTGGCTGTTAAGATTTCCTTAAACAATCTTGTTTTATATAGGCTGATGTGGTGTTTATTCTTGTTTGGGGAAGGATTTTCTCTGGCATGCTCTCAGGTTTGCAGTAGCATCTCAGTGTTTGTTTTGGCCCTGAATTAGCTGGTCAGGAATTACTTCATCATTCGTCAGATCCCGAAGGATGTTTTGGTTCAGATCTATCGTTATGTAATCCAGCATACACCTAATGAATATATGTAACACAGTGGGATGTGTAACGGCAAAATTGAAATAACAACAAATAATAAAGTTTGATAATAAGATTGCAATGTAAAAATTACTACAGGGCATCAGACTAGACTACCTTAAAATTCCCTTCTGACCTGCAAAATTTTTTACATTACTCTTGAATCTATGCTTGTTAGCAAAAAGCATCCTGCTCCCAAGTATGGGTCCATTATTAGGATTAAAAAATGGATTATTTTCCATTTGAAAGATAGGCCATAAAGAAAATTGCTATAATGTAAATTATGGAACTGTTACTTTTGTCTGTAACCCCCAAACTAGCATCACCATAAATGGAGAAAATGCTCTAAGGAACAGAAGACTATGAGGCTACTGTGTTATTTGGGAATTTTACTTCTCATTATTTTGTACGAAAACTAGTATGGGAAATAACACATTTAATGGCATGAAATGTAGTGATCAGGAAAAAAAAACATTCTGGGGTCATAGTTTGTGAACCTGAAAGTGTTGTTTCTTTTCATTTACATGTGATAACTTTGAAAAAAGTTACTACTAAGAAGGATGTCCATTATTATTTATCTAACAATGCAGGTGCAGTGGTGTTTACTTAGCAGTGAATAGGAAAGAGCAAAGGCCACATGACTAACAGATAATGTAGGTCACTCACAAAACTATCAGAACCTAGGTGATGTTGAGCAAGTTTGGCAAACGCTGATCTAAAAGCTGATGATAACAATATTGTCTTTGCAGACAACTTAATATAGTTTGTTTTGCCTACCTGCGATGTGAGGACTTTTTTGATATGGAGAGATAGCTTTCTTCTCTGTACTATTGTCTTTATTAGCAGTCATCTAGATCTACAAGGCAGCTTATCTGTTTCTGTTATGTATTTGAAATTAAGTACCAAAATATATCCTTTTGTAGGATATTCCAAATGGATAAGCCCACACAAAATCTTTAAAAAATACTTTTAATTTAAATTATTCTTATAAGAATCATTATACAAAATAGCTTAATTTGGCATTTCCTAGATGCAGATTTTTGCAGTGGTGCAGAGCCTTTTCAAATAAAACTATATTATCTTATAGGGCTGCAGTTTTCAGGGTTTTTTTTGTTATCAATCGTGTACCTTCTTACTGTAATAGAACCAGATTAACACAGTGGCTTGGTTTAATTGCAGATTGGCAAAAGAAAAAGTTATGTATGAAAAAGAAGCAAAACAGCAAGAAGAGAAGATTGAAAAAATGAAAGCTGAAGCATGTGATGATTATGGAATTAAGAAGCAGGTAAACTATTCTCAAACTTGTTTTATAAAATTCTTCTTTGGTTTGATTTCATTATAGTCATCTTTAAATAAAAAACTCCTGTAGCTTTTTCGAGACTCTTGTTATAGGTACTGGACTAAAACACTGTCAATTGTAAAAGTCATAATAAGCATTTGTAGAAACTGCCTTTACTCCAGAACTGTTAAATTGTAAGGAGACAGCATATGTATTCCTTAGCACTCGGTGTCAGGATGGCAATCACTCACTAACAGTGTTTGAGGCCATCATGAACTCTCTTTCTTAGAAATTCCAAGAACCTGAAAATGCATGGTCTGGATGCATTTAGGCAAACTAAGTGTTTGCTGGTAAGTGCAAATGTTGCAGTGAAGTGACAATGCTTTGTAGTTAATATGCAGGTGAAACATTTCAACTCTTGAGTATACTTGTATCCCGTTGGTAAAATCATAGACCTCAAAGAGAGCAATGGGTGATGCAGCTGCTCTTAGCAGCTGCTAGAGTTTGTAATGAAGTCACCGACTAGCAAGGGACACACTGCTGTTTCATCTGCTCAAGGGTGTGCTTTAGCATCACTATTAAAATATGACTAAGTTTTTCTTGTAAGTGTACCCACAAAGGACAGTAGTAGCAGACAGTCGATACATGCCCTTTTGGAAGGAGAAGGAGTGTCAAACTTCCTTCTCATTGAGAAAAGGCTTGGGTTTGGGAGATTTGTGTTTATTCTTCACAGAAGTGTGATGCAGCTGTGTTTAACTGTGACCTTTCTAATCTTTCAACTAAATGTGTTGTCTTTTAACTATGTTTTTTTCCCCAAGCATTTCCCCAATATTTTCACTTAAATCTTCACAGAAACGGACACTGTAAATAAAAATTATTTTCACTTGTTTCAATAGTCTGGTGGCCTTTGTGTTATGAAACCTACTGTTCTCCCATCTTCATTTTTAAACAATGGAAGAATAGGTTAAACAAAACTGAAATAGAAAAAAAATAATGAAAACAAGACAGGAGGAAGCCCTTCTAGAGCAAGCTAAAACAACTTCAGTAAGTTTAGATATCAGTCCCTGTGTGTATGTCCTGCCTTGCTTTCCTTATGCCATGGGAAAGAAAAACAAATAAAGAATTTGTATACAAAAAAAGAACTATAGTTATAGAGCTGAGCCGTGTCTGCCTCACCACTGACTGAGACTCCAAGGTCCTACAAAAGAGTAGTCTTTCTGAAGATCCTCTGATGCTAACAAGAACTAATGAATGCAATTCCCATTTTTAGTGTCCCCCATTCATCAGATTATTTGACTGCACCGTGGTATTTCCGCAGTGACCTGCAAGATACCATCAAAGTCAAAAACAGTGGAGGCTGTGAACTTCTGCTGTGAAATGAAATGTTATACACTACTTGAAGGTATTCTCAGAGACCAGTGACAAAAGCCTTCACAGAGAATAGTCTCAATTAATTCAGAAATTGCCTGATCCATTTTGAAAGCAATCAGTTTCTCCAATGACATCTTCATTTCTTGTTCTTTTATAGCACGTTTTGCACTCTGCATTCTGGAAGTTGTTAATATTTTAGGTTCTGAAGAATTTGGAGCCTCAGAAAGAATGCACATACTTTTCATAGGGCCAAATCTGTTACTCTGAAGAAAGTTATATAATACCAGGACATTTTGCTCAAAAACATAGTTTGGATAGAGTTTATACTTTGTGAAGTTCTTCAGGAAAAATATCTGTAGTTACACATTTTAAGAATTGCTTTTAGTTAATAATTCCTAATCTGAATAGCTATTTCTTTACAAATATGGTTGTAGTCTTTATTTCAGTATTGAAAAGTAACATTTGGGGGCTGGGAATACATTCAATCATTTGAGACTGGAATAATAATCTTAGCTATTATTTAGCTGAGGTGTCAGCTAAATCAGGTATGTATATACAAATAAAGCCAGAGTTGAGGGAAAGATGCTTAAAAGCATTGCCTGCCTCTTAATGTACTGCTGTTCTCATTTAGCTTTCTAGTTCTGCAGTAGAACATATGGTTTAACAGTACAGAAGTGAGTATGGAAAACTTTAAAGCTAATAAGCCATTCCCACAGCATATGTGGACTTCAGGTTGTGTCTGGTCTGTAAGGAGGGGTCAGTCCCTTTATAGCATAATAGTTAGGGTTTGACTCAATATTTTTCTCCTAACTCCATGTACAGTAGGGCAGCTTATGGTTCCTGTGAACTCAAGCGATCTCTGGCTGGGGCAGTGACCAGCTAGGGCAGCTGGCAGTTGTTAGATACCAGTCTTCACCTGCACTGTCCAGAAACACTTAATACGGAGCAAATTCAGTATCAGAGAAACAAAAAGGACAGTTTGCTTACAGTGCAGGTATAATCTCACTAAGATTGTAATTTGATAGACCCCATTGTAGGGCGTGAGAAGACTTTGTTGTGACACCCCAGAGCAGTTCCCTTCCTCCCATCCAAATCTGTAGAGTCCCAAGCATGTTCTGCTTTGTTGTTGTGGTGACCTGGCATAGTTCACTTCCCCCCTCATCTGCCCCCAACTTTGGTGGGCACAAGCATGACTGTAGATCTCGGAATCTGGACAACAGCAGCTGCACTGTATCAGCGAGTTCACTAATGACTAAAACAGGACATTGCCTATGTATGATATGTTAATCAGCACAAGTTTCATTATCCACCACTGCAGTGCCTTCCTTTGAGCTTCACCCCTGGGCAGGGCTCCATGGCGTCGGTTCCCTGTTTTGATTAGTGTCAGTGTCCCGGCACTCCCACCATGGTTAACAGTACGCTTTTTATAAAGCCAGAACTTTCACTTGCTGAGTGGTGTGTGTCGCTCCTGAGGGATCCGCACCTGGTTTTTGCTCGTAACACCCGTGTATTGCTATTGTCGCGGCTGCACGTTGTATTTGCACTGCTTGCTGTGTCTCAGCTCCTCATGTACTTCAGCTGAATCCAGGCTGGTGACTACTACTTGTGGGAGGCTGCATATCACAGAGAAAGAATCTCTAGCATTATGGGGCAAAGAAGCCCTTCCTTTTCCATGAGTTACAGCTTATTTAAAAAAACAAACAAACAAACAAACACAAACAAACAAACCAAAAAACCAAAAAAAAACACCACTATGCTATTACCTGTTTTTTGCCTACCAAAGGCAGATGAGAAGTTTACAATTTAAGGGAAAGCTTATAACAATTTATTTGAGCCAAATTGGAAGAAAAAAAACCCACAATAAATGATGAGCAATAGTTGGGGAAAAAAGGCTAGGATAGAAAAATTTTCATATGTTTTTATATCTCAAAATCACACTATCTTCAACCATGAGACTGGTAGGAAAAAGCATTATTAAATACTTTAATAAAATACTAAATTGAAAACAATCTTACTAAAACCTAAACTATTTTACACAAGAATTATCACATTTGTACAATTTAGGAAAAAATATTAAAAGGCTTTTGAGGTATTCTACCAGGTGTAAATTCTGCTTATAGTTTCTGTAGAAACAACCCTGACTGGTAGCAGCAAGTATTGCAATTGTACCTCTCTGCGGATTTTTTCATAATGAAGCCTTAGTTTCTACACAGTTACAATCTTTCTCAGTATATGAAGACTTTACACAGAGCTTCATAATACTTCATCTGTAACGGAAACTTTTTATGCTATAATCGCTCATGGGTGCAGGCTAATGGTAGGAACCAGTAGTTTTCTGTATTTCTGTGATTGTTGATATGTCTCGTGCATAAGCAAACATCCTTTCCCATGTAATGCTTTTACCTTGAGCCTTGTGAGTGTGGGAAAAGCCTGAGGTATCTAGTCCTTGTTTGCTCCCTCTCAGTAGAATTGCAGATATACTCTGGAGTTTTTGTTAACTGTCAGCATTTTTACTGATAAATGATAAATTTTCATTTTTAAAAAATAGTTTTCCTACAGTTCCAAATTACTTCTGGTGTGATGTCATTTCCAGTTGAATTAGAAATCCAATGGACTTAACATAGAATTTAGTATTTGCATGCCAAAGAGTACATAAAGTACATCTTGCTAATACACAGTTTTTTACAAGTATTAGTGAAAACAATACTTCCCTTGTATAGTTGAGTTGAAGGTAAAGTATCTCCTGAAACAGCTAAAAAGAAATACATTTGGAAACAATGCATATTGTTTTGGAAAATTACTGTGGAAGATGAGACTTTGCTGCTAATCTTGTTACTGGAGGAGTTCTAACTGAAAGGAGCATTGTCTTGTTCTGTAAATTTTTCAATTTTAAGTGTCTGTTTAGCATCAAATACTCCCACCAGCTCACTTGGCTTTTTACATTTTTAGCTCTTTCCACCCCCCGCCCAACTGGTTCAAAGAAAGTTTCAGTCTTCTCACCAATCAAATACACTAAGTTTAGGTGAAACATACAGTTTCACTTATGTCTGATTATTTTCATAAGTTTGTATTGTTTTGTTTTTTCCCCTAACTTTGCTTGATAATCTGAACTCTAGTTGCGTAGGTAAAGATGCAATGGAAATGCTAATGAAGGGTCTAATGTTCTCCCTTATGTATTTGGACAGTATCCTTAACCAGCACAGTTTGTTCCCTTAAAAGCTAGCAACTTGAAATTCTCTGTACCAAATACAGAATAATATTCCTAACATGCAACTGATATTAAAAATGCTTTCAAACTTAGTTTTTTGTTGCCTAATGTGCTTTCTGAAAGGGATCAAATGACAAAAAAAATCATTACTATGCTCTTCCTTTGTCTCTTTTGTTTTCCAAAGGCTGTTTTCCTTTTTATTTACGTAGGTGTAAATATCTTTTGGATTCCATACTTAAAGCTGAAGATTAAAGGCCTTTGTGCTGTATTTGGAATAAGTTAGCATGGCAACATTCCTGTGGTAGAAAAGACCTGCCACTGAGATGGGACGTGATTCATTTCTTCTTCAGTTGGCCTCACTTTAACTCTGCTCTCAACAGTGGAAAAAAATCTGGACTTGACTTTTCTGCCTTCTATCTAGGGAACT